TGATACATGATGATGATACGATGATGATACATGATGGTGATGCATGATGGTGATGCATGATGGTGATGCATGATGATAATACATGATTATGATACATGATGATGATAATGATGATGATAATGATGATGATAATAATATTGAAATAATGATGATGATGATAATAATTATAATTAAGATAGATGATGTTGTGGTCAAGGGAGGTCGTTGTGGTCAAGGGAGGTCGTTGTGGTCAAGGGAGGTCGTCGTGGTCAAGGGAGGTCGTTGTGGGAGGTCGTCGTGGTTAAGGGAGGTCGTTGTGGGAGGTTGTTGTGGTCAAGGGAGGTCGTTGTGGTCAAGGGAGGTATGCCTTTGAACATCCTCTTTCCTTCCTGCATCAACGATACTTTTTTTCTGACCTGGGTGTTTTTTTATACAATTCTAAAATCATTTCTGATAGTGTCAGTCTGTAGTGAGGGTAAAACCATGAAACGTGAAGGCAAAACGTTCGTCATACTTCGGTACTGTGTCACACTTAATTTTGTTACTTGATTCTCCATATTTTGGAATATAAAATACGATGAATGTCTAAACACTGATTGGCTGTTTACTTATCCAGTACATCACCATATTCGTTTTTCATTGGTGCAGGTCCTACAGGTGAAACAATAAAAATTACAAATAAATGAAAAAAGGAATGAATGAATGGAGGGAGGGAGGGAGGGAGGGAGGGAGGGAGGGAGGGATGGAGGGATGGATGGATGGATGGATGGATGGATAAGCCTAATTTTCAAATTGTCATTGAACTTGGTTGGGAAACAAGTGCAAAAAAAGACTTAAAAAATCATAACTTCATACCTCCTCGTTGCCTCTTGGTGCGAGAGCTCTTATCATCATCCTTGTCACTTTTGTATGATGCATCATCTTCAGACCAAAGAGAAGAGGATGACATATCTATCTGATATGAATCTGTTGACGACTTGTAGTCATCAGCTTCTCTGTATTCAACTTGTTCCTCATCCTAAAGATGTTAAAAGAAGCAACAAAAAATAAAGTAGGATAAATATACATGTAAATTAGAGGATAAGGAGAAACCTCCCTTTCTCTCTAGTCCTCCTAGGCCACTACACACAGATGGCCAAAAAAAACAAACATGCTTATTGGCCAGTCTCTTTAGTCCCCCTAGGGCACTACACACAGACACTTGTCAGACAGCCGAAAAAACAATCATGCTTATTGGCCAGTCAAAGATACAGTGGTGAACAATTATGCATTAGCAGCAAACAACACTGTTGCATTTTCTAGCTCCTGTAGCCACTCTCTGTGTGGGGTGGATGAGGAGAAACCTCCCTCCCAATCAATCAATCAATTTATTCCTCGCTTTTCTTAGGACAGCATTTAGGTCCCCTTCTACTAGACTCTACTAACTTCTACTAAGCTAAGATTTTACAAGATTGTGGAGGCTTTAATTACTAAAAAAATGCTTTTCTAGTCGCAGCCTTATTGATTATGTAGTATATACACGGAGTACAATAACAGCATCATCAAGACCCATTCATGGCATACCTTTGGTGTTTTAGAAGCAACATGTGGGTGTGGTGCAGTGTTCATCCATTGATTGCGGTTGCGCCGTCTTAATTCCTCATAACTTGTAAACCTATTGGACTGTTTTCTTTCATCGTCAGTCAACTCTAGTGGATTTGGCACACTCCAGGCATCACCCTCACTAACAGTACTCTCTCTGATTAAACTTGTTGAAGGTTTGGGCATCTCTTCATGAAAGCCAGATTCTAATGTTTGAGATTGAAAGAGCAGGATGACTCATAAGAGTAAATGGTTTGAATCCAGGTGTTGAATTTAAGTTATTCAAACACAATAACTTAATTGGAAAGAAAGAAAGAAAGAAAGAAGGTATGGGGGTGGGGTGGGTGGGGTTTGGAGTTGCAGTTGGGCAAACAGTAAACTACTTAAATAGCTATGGATCACCTTTCGCGCATTAAAGACATGGTAATGGCTTATTATTACAACATATACATGTTATGCCATGCTGTAACATTGACATGGCTTCCCATAAGAATGGTTATTGTATGAGTGGAAAAAGTATGGTACTGAATTACACCATGTACATGATACAACATGCCATGACATTGAATAACTTCCCATAAGGATGGTTATCATACATGTATGAATGTGAAACTTATGGTTCTGACATACATATCACATACTGTACACGGTTTGCCATGTCATACTGTAACAATGAAATGGCTTCCCATTAGAAAGATTATCATATGAGTGGGAAACATATGTATGGTAGTGACTTACACCACCTACATGGTGCCCACACGACATGCCATAACATTGAAATGACAATTACCTGCTCTACAGCTGTATACAATATAGTCTTACCTGTGTGACTCAGATGATCATCAGGTGTGAATGTACTTTCACCCCCTGGTGTTGGGGATGTCATACCAGCTCTAAAAATGATGGAGATACACGTAATAGAAGGTTTGATCACTGATTGAATATTACCAGAAGGGTTTTAATTAGTTTTGATCATGGACTCCTGGAGAGTCCTGGGGACCAATTGTTTTTTACCACAAAAATTCACTTAAACATGCATTTTTTTGACATACATAAACAGCGTGCACTTTTTGACGTCAGCTCATTTGTCTGTCCTCTTACTGATCATAAAAAATAGCCAATCAGCATGTGAGAATTATTAAAAATTTGTGGTCAAAATGATGTTTATCAGGAATTTGGGAAATGACCTCTAAAAATACCATATTCTTGCTTGTGTTGCAATGAAAGCTATTTCTCCTATATGGAAATAAATAATAACATAATTTCATGAAATACTTCAAATAACTAATATATTGAGTTATTACACACACTTTTTGTAAAATTCACGAACTTGATCAGCTAATTTTGAGTTTTCCAATCTCAAAATTTTTTCCATGCATGTCTTGCGGTAAGAAGCAATTCCAGATRAAAATCCCAAAGCAAAGATTCCTAAATACAAGAGATGGGGAAAAAGCCACCTTCAATCAAATTTGACAATTACATTTATCAAAATATAAAAATTAATAATAATAAATTTTATAAGAGTAAATGGTTTGAACCCAGGTGTTGAAGTTATTGGGATGAAATGTGATTGTCTGGATGAGTGCAGTCTTGAGAAAGAGAGTTGGTGGTGACTTACATTTCGAGAACCTGAGACGAAGTCATCTTCAGAGTCCCACTGGACTTCCGCTCAGGTTGTCGAAACGTCAGTCACCACCAACTCTCTTTCTCAAGACTACACTCACCCAGACGATCACATTTCACACCAAATAAATTTTATATCCCTTAAAAAATATCTCAAATGTCTTGTATTTTTTCATGAAAGGATGTAGAATTCTGTTTATGATCCCTGGGTTTGTAAAGTTTTGTAAAGGTTTTGGGTTCAGCAAGCCTATTTGATCAGGAAGGCCATAGTTACTGTATTATAGTAAGAAAACACACAGATGTATTACCTGGGTAATAAAATCCAGAAAACCTCTTGATGTGTGACAGATATCCTAAACATGAGAAAAATATTATATACTGTCAGTTACTATTAAATAATTTAATATTTACATGATGATGTAGTATTATACTGACTGGGATGTGTACCAGTTTCTAAACTTGACATCTAGACAGGCAACAACTTTTCAAAACATCTTTAGAAAGAATTGCATGCTTCTTTTTCATGGAAACAAATTTGATTCTATAGCCTTAAACAACCTCTGGGCTAAATAGCAGAGAATGGCTAAAGATTGAATCAGGATTTAGAATGCTGGGTTTTGTGTAGGAATGAGTGTGAAGCGAGTGGGAAGAATCCAGAAAAAGCTGCAAATCAAGGGTGTCCACCCAATAAACTCTAATTCAGGAGTTGAGCCTTAAAACCCCAAAGGTGAAAGGCGAGTCTGGTACATTACATTATTTTATTTACGATAACCTATTGATTGTTCTTTTCAATGTAAGTTTAGGTAGATATTTATTATATTTCGATAACCGTAGAAATAGACCTCTTCAGCTCAGAAGTAATGTTTTCCCATTCCAGACCATGTGTCATTCCCTTGAGAATATTAGATTCTTCTCTTGAGAATAAGATACTCAAAGGAATGACACATGGTCTAAAATGGGGAAACACTACGCCTGAGCCGAGGAGGTATATATACAGAAATAGTTACAGTTGCAAGCTGCAAGAGCATTTGGCAATGGAAAACTAACCAGTTTTCATTCCTTCTCTCATGATGAGAACAGAAATTGCACCAAGTGGAATTCCTGAAAAAGAAACAAATATTGAGAAAGTCACATTATAAAATAACTGTTATAAATCTCACATTCTGATTGGTTGGGGGCTTGTGCTTTATGAGCACACAGCACACACATGCACTTTCAGTTGCGTCATTACTAAAGAAAAAAGGATATTGAAATTTGTATTTTATAAAAGAAATAAAAGCCTTGCTTGCTGTGCTGTGTGCAGTTATACACGTAAAGCACTTGGGGATTGGCAGAACACTTGAGAAGTGTTGAGAAGCACTCTTCTACTCATCTTGCTTCTCCTAACACTTCTGTCATGTTCTGCCAACCCCACGTGCTTTATGACTGCACGCAGCACACACGCATTTTCTATTTCTTCATTAGGACTATGTCAACACAGGAAACCCAAGCCATTTTTTTTCTTTTCAATGTGTAAGTTCCAAAAAATATCCATTCCCCACCCACAGAGGAAAACGAAAATTTTGGAAGTAATGTTGGGTCAGAGAAAAAACAAAATTGGAGAGTTTGTATTGAAGAAAATTGTGAGTTCCTGAGGGTATGCGGGCCTTTTACATTATATTCCCTCAGTGGTGCCTTTGGATATTTTCTGGAACCAAACAATGTTGGAAAAAACCTGGTAACTGCTTGTTATAAATGTTGATTTGCTAGTGAATGAAAGGTCAGGAGAGAGAGAGCACCAAGCTAGACAAGGCATATTAACATGTATATGTATATGACCTAGTACCTTTGCTGTAAAGGCGTGTGTCTTTAACTTACCTCTAAAGTAAACGCTATTTACTCGACATTCTCGAAGCACAGCTCTTTCTTCATCAGTAAGCTAAAACATAATAATGCAATTCGAGCTTAAAAGATAAATATAACGGAATGAAACGATATTAATCCAGCTGAAGTACCTCTAAAGGAGGCATGCCTGGAGGACCTCCATGAGCCGCCATCTTGAATTTTGATGATTCCCGCTGACCCCCATGTATATGGGCTCTTCTCTTGACCTACGGAAAAATATCGCGGGGAAAAATCATTGAAAATTTGATCAAAAAATAATATTCCTTATATATCTTTATCATTTGCACTTTAATTTTTAAAGGCCAGAATTTGATTTAAAATGATAATTTTTGAGAAATTATATAATATGCTATAGCCGAAAGATTATCGACTGGTGTGAAAGCAATGCTCCAATCGATATTTTTTCGTGATAACCGAGCAAGCAAGCAACTCAAAACACAACATGGAGACGAAGAGGTTTTGGATTATCGTTCGAGAAGATAAAAGTAATAGTATTTTTTAATGAAACCTCAGACTTCAACTAAACAATGAATAACTGATAGTCTAGTTTTGATTATTCAGTTGTTTCAGATATCAAGGAAGTGACAATTCCGGCGAAGAGAGAAATTTTTAATTATTCTGATGATAGGCGACTGCTTTTGAAGGTTAGCTGTCTAATGGAGTGAAAATAATCTTATCTATTTGACATGCTTATTAATTCTCCGGCTATTTTGCATGTGTAGTCCTTATGTGCTCAACTGGGAATTAGCTACAAGGATGACAAAGTTCTAAAGGTGAACAATTCGTCGTTTTATTAATTCATTTAAAAATCATTGAAGGCATTTATGGGCCGTGGAGGGGGATTGCTGCTTGGCAACACTTTCAGTTTTTCCCTTGTTTTGTCATCTATTATCTCTCCTCTGATATATAATGAACATTCTCTTATAAAGCTGATTTTCCTTTAAACTTCAAAGCTAAGAAATGGCAGAAGTTCTCTGGTTCCTATCAGTAGAAGTCTTTCACCAAACACTGTAACAAGGTAAAGCTTACCTGAAATTTCTGCTTCAACTTACCGCAATTCTCACTACATTTATTCTGCAAACTCAGACATTTCAATAGCTTGTTGTAAAATTGTTTTTTCCCTGCCATCAGTCAAAAATAATCAGTCGGTGCTTCTTACATTTTTGACTGGTGGCAGTAAAAAACCAACTACGGAGTTTGCATAATGTTAAAAATCATTGCAAATATTAGCTACATGTACTATTGAAGAAATAGAAAACACGCGCGCCTGCTGTGTACTGTCATAAAGCACGTGGGGGTTGGCAGAACACGAGAGAAGTGTTAGGAGAAGCACGACGCGTAGCAGAGTGCTTCTGGACACTTCTCGAGTGTTCTGCCAATCCCCAAGTGCTTTATGACTGCACACAGCACAGCAAGCAAGTTTTTTATTTCTTTTATAAAATACAAATTACAATAATAGATAGGAATGATGCCACGGAAAGTGCGCGCGCGTGCAATGTGCTCTCATAAAGCACACGCTCCAAACCAATCAGAACGCAACATTCATAACAGTTATTTTATAATGTGCTTTAATGTTTTGCTTGGTATGGAATGCCAAAATGTTTGTCTCATTCAGCCCTGATAGTTTCCATGGCAACCATGATACAGTGCGATGTGCCTAACCGTGGCCACCCAAATTATTTTCTTACTAGTTAGCCAATCAGACAGCAAGAATTTGTGCATTTGTATGTGAAGTCATTCAGCGTGACCACAAATATGCAAAATCATTTAGTACTCTAGCTTTGCAACAAAAACTTAAAGAAATGGCTAGAGATTTTGTGGTGGTATCTTTTTAGTTCCTTGCTGGCTAACACTGGTCTCTTTCATAAAAGTCTTTTAAATCAATGAAAACACTTGGAGGGAAAGGATTCAAGGGCATTGGCAATAAAAAATAAGTTGAATTCTTTTTGGTTACAGCCCATTTATCTTAGAAGTTTGTGAAACACACAAAACAGGTAACTAAATAGAAATAACAGTATTTAACTTATTCATTAAAATATTTTCTTCAATAGTAACAGGTTGGTTACAGCCATTTACAATCATGTTGAATGTTTTTTTTAGTAAAACCTGGACTGAAGCAGATTGTTATACCTAGCCACAGTGAGATTTGTCAGAAGAAGAAGGAAACGCTATCAAAGAGGGTATTAATCCAACTTAAATGTTGCTGAATATATCCCAATGCTCCCATTTCAAGTTCGCCTTATTACTCAGTCTTAGCCTCGATTATGTGCAAATGTGTTATTTTCTTCTATTAAGGCCGATTTAGTACGATTTTTGCCCACAACTATCGTATACAACACGCTTGCGTCTGTTGTAGACGAGTTGTGGGCTTGATTTACACGCTACAACTCGAGTTGTAGGTTGGTGTGAGCACGTTGTATACGATAGTTGTAGGCGAAAATCGTACAGTCTAAACCAGCCTTAAAGGTCCAATGTATAGTAAGGAATGTATGCGCTATGGAACAATACGAGATGATTAAAATGCCACAGGTTTAGGTTGAATAGCTGAATGTTATAATGCATGACTGAGACTGAGGTTGAGCAAAGAGAACTCGAAACTGGAGTATTGAAAAGCTCCCCAAACCTTATATTTATAAGTTTAACATTTCAGATAGAAAGACTTGAGAAAATAATTCCAGATTTGCCTCTGTTGAGAAAGGCAAAGCTTGCTAATGTAAGTTATATCAATTATAGCAGCATTGAGTATTTTGTTAATTGTTGTTTTTGGCACATACAGGTAGCCACTTACAATGGTTTATCCATATCAGAAGCAAATTGCCGAATTTTCATTTTCAATAGATGCTACAGTATATGTTTCACAGTTTCAAGACATTCCACTTATCACCCTACCAACAACCTATTGACACCAGGGCCGGGTTTTTCAAAGCTCGATTAGCGCTAATCCAGGATTAACTCTATAGGTCTCATTAAGTGTTAACCCAGGATTAGCACTAATCGGGCTTTAAACAACTGGGCCCAGAGCTATAATCTAATGACATCCTACCATTCCCTTACTGACACCCTACTATCAACCTTTGTAAGAATACCCTTACATCAATCTACTGTTTCTCTACCAACACCCTACTGAAACTCTACCAACAACCTTCCAACCCCCTACTGACAATCTACCAAAAGCCTATTGAAACCCTTAGCCAACACCTTACTGACAACATATTATCAACCTACTGACACCTTACAAACAGCCTATTGATACCAACACCCTACTGACACTCTACTGACACCCTACCAACAATCTGCTAGCACACTACCATCAACCTACTGACACCTTACAAACAGCCTATTGATACCAACATCTTACTGGCACACTACTGACACCCAACCACCAACCTACTGACACCCTACTACCAACCTGCTAGCACACTACCATCAACCTAATGACACCCTACCATCAGCCTACTGACACCCTACCAACACACTACTGACACGTCCCCTAAGGACACCCTATGACATCCTAAAACGTTAAACGTTTTTGCATCAAATCCAATACAGTTTATATTCTTTCAAACAGGAAATGAAAGATGTTGAGGCAAGGCTTAGCTTTCTGAATGAAAGAATGAAGGTATATATTAGTTTATTTTCCATGCATAACAGTTGACCCCCTTGTGTTGACACCAACATTCATCCCTGCCCATTTTCTCTAAATACTGAATCATTAACTAAGTTGCCATTTGTCTCCAAATAAAATAATATTATCTATCAGGAAGCAGAAACACAGCAGTGGAAAGGCATGTTTAAGAAGCACCCACTGTGGTGAGGATTCATCAGGTCAGTTTGATTCAGCTGTTGTCTGCTGCATCACACTAGCTTGGCTTCTCATAAAGAGATGATCAGTGTACATATTCTGCATTATACCCAGATATTTTGCATGAAAACGACTCCAGACGCATCTTGAATCTTAAAATGTACAAAATAGTATTTCAAGTTATCAAAACCTTGGCTCATTTAGGGAGCATTTTTTATGTATGGGAAAATATTTATTTGATATATTTTTAGCCGCATTGTAAGTAGTCTCCTATGCAGCCGCTATTAGTTTCGTGACGACACTAATAGCAGCTGCGTAGAATACTACATTGTTAGACGGTTGGTCAAATTTCTACAAGACAATCAACGGGCAGACATAACAGCATGTTGTACCATTCATAGGCGCCAACTCACTCAGTACTGTATGTTTTCCACTCTTACCAAAAATTCTCTAATTGTATATATGTTTATTAATATATGTATGAAATAGTTAATAATAATATCTATGATATGAATAGAATCTGATTTGAAATTTTGTTCACTACAATTTTTTTTGTCTTTTTATTTTGTTTGTAAATAGCAATTATTTATAAATATTGTTATCAAAAGATATGCTCTCAATTCTGTTAAGTATTTTAAGAATGGATAAAACGACCATGTATAGATTATTTTTCCCTTAAGTAACTGTCCTTAACATATTACCTGTCCCCAAGCTACATCACGAAAACTCCAATATAATGAAGTGGGTTTCTTGAGTCCATATATCCTTTATAGCCTGCGTAGCTCGGCCCTAGGGGAGGGGGCAGGGGAAATTTTTATAGCTCTTCTAAAGTAAAGCCAAAACTGTCGGTGTTTAAAATTTAGAATGCACCGATGCAGAATGCAGACATGCGAAATCATACAAAAAAAGAAAAATGTAACAATAAATGCTAGACCCCGAAGTCTTTCGTACAAATGACTACACACTTTTAAGAGTGTTTTAAAAAGGCTCTATTGAGCAACATATAGTATTGAGAGTGAATGCAGTATTGATCATAAGTTTATATACATGCATACAAAAGGCTGTATATAGGCTGTTAGGTTTAGGTTTTTAACTGGGAATTAATCATCCGATGACGAATAAATATTTTAACAACCGGTTTGAATGAGTGATTTTCGTGCGCACAAAAACAAAAATCGTTCGGTACAATATTTGTTTTAAATATCTGCTTTCCCTTGATTCGAAAAGCCCTTGAAAACATGAATTAGGAAAACTGGCAGTCTTACCGAATCTATTACTAAATGCCACTAGATTGGTTTCCCTTCTCTTCCTTTAATTTTTTCATTTACCATTTTTTCATTTTCTTCCATTTCCTTTCATTTATTTTTCCTGCGTTCAAGGCTTTCCTTTTCTCTTCTCTTCTCTTCTCTTCTCTTCTCTTCTCTTCTCTTCTCTTCTCTTCTCTT